TACTTTTGGGTGGTGGGTACTTAAAACATGTTTGTCTATGCTAATCTTACATTTGGGTGTTGCCCTGACACATTTGCCTATGTTAATCTTGTGTAACCCTCCCCTTTTTGACATGTCAGTGATGTAAAGATGATGTATCAATGATGCTGTACGAACTGTATTCTGGGATATTGTGGGAAGTTTTAAAAGTCAACGTCGCCCCATGCTCTGGGTTCACTTGTTGCTGTTGAACCTGTTGCGCAACAATAAAGGATCTAAGTCTGCTGGCTGCTGTTTTGCTCCAAATTGCTTGGCTGGAATTTCCTTCTTTTACTGACCGCATGGACCCATGGGAGACTTGTACCCCAACGAGCTGGGCTGTTGAGTAGTCTCTCAACCCGTAATTTTCCTTAACAGATTACTAATGTACACTTAGGGCTCATCAGTGCTGCTTTCCCCTGGGAAAACCTGCTCGTTACCACTGATTCAGAGCAAACATCAAATAGGCAGATTGACATTTTCTTTGATTCAGTGACAAATAGCAGGTTTTCCTGGAGAATGTGGCGGGACAAATGGAAAACCCCTCGGACCCATGCCTAGAAAGCACAGGGCAAGCAGAAAACCTCTCAGCCCTCTGCATTCTAGGTGCGGGACAAGTAGAAGTGCCGACGAGCCCTTAGACTTGTTACAGTTTTTCTGGGAAGATGCTGGAGGCAATGGACTGGGATCCATACAGGAAAGTGGGTGGGCCACTTCCTACAGGGGGCTGAGGCACTGAAGCAGCACCCCCAAGGGAATCCCTCCCTGTGGGAAGTGGGGTGCCTGCCCACCCTCTTTTTATGAGGCAGGGAGGATGGTGCCACCACCATTAACTTTATTCCAGAATGTAGGTTGGAATGGGGCATCAGCCAACCAGCAAATGACCAGATCCCTGCCCTTTGCCATGCCAGACCCTATAAGCTGTAACCAATAAAGTTGTAGCCATCTCAAAACCACTTTGAGCCTAAGTGTAGTTATTTGCTCCCACACACCATGCCTTGTAACTCACTGGGAACACAGTCAGTGAGCCATCCATAAATATTCTGTATAAAACATATGTTCATAATAAGTACAAAAAAAAGCTTTTAGCATTTTAAGGCTTTCACAAGGGATGAGGCATGCCAATTGTCTGATGCAGAAATCTCCTTTGATTTTACAAAGGTTTGGAGTATGAAAATATATACTGTTCTGTGTGTGAGAATCTTCCCACCCTCCTTCATCACTTAGTGACTTCGGCATTTCAGAGCACTAATGTCTAATTGACAGAGATATAGCAGGCTCTAAATCCAAGTGGATGAAAATGAATACAAAATGTCTGCCGATGTTTTCCCTGGCAATAGGCAAACTACCATTTTGTTTAATAATACTTTAATGACAATGTGCAACCTGCATCCAAATGTTGAGCAAATATTGCTCCATTTGCTGCTGAGATTGATGTAATTAGATTACAGAGATCATCATGGAATTAGACGTAGTAGCCTGACCTTTCCAGAAATTCTCTCATTATTCAGGCAAATTAGGCTGTATGGTAATCTTTGTTCTTGATATCTAAACCAAAAGATTATTAAGTAGTTTCAACTAAATTACATCTTTATAGTGTTTGGCACTAAATCAAGTTTACCTTGAATGTCTGCTTTTCTCTCCCCCCCCCCCCATTTATTTAATGGATATAATGAAGCAGATACTGCTAATCTTTTTGTATTTATCTACTTCTAGTCAATTAAATACAAGCATTTTATTTAGTTTATTGTCACTGACCATCATATGTCTTCTTCACTAGAATCTTTATCACGTTGCACTTTTATTCAGAATTTAGCTATTCTAAAAATGCAACCCCTGAGCTCTGTCTAGTAGTTGTGTACATGGAAAGGACCTTGTGGAACTGATCCCCTCCAGAGGTGGTTTTAGGGTGCTGTGACCAGCCCCATGGAGCACTGTACTGCAGGGGGCGTCACAACAATGCTATAGAACAGAACACAAGAAGCAAGGGGTGCTAATTTTTTGCATAGCACAGGGGACCACTGCCCTGCCTCCCAGTACTTCCTAAAATCCCTCCTCAGAGGCTTGTCACTCTCCTGAACAGTTGGGTCTGCATAGCCCTACTATTCAAGAGGTTGATTTATGGAGGGGTGTGCAAGAAGAGGAAGAGGAGAGAAAGAGTGATTCTGACACCTGTCTTCTATTTGCATAACTTCTGGATGCAATCTCTTATTTTCATCTTTACTAAAACCACACAAAATTGGTTTATGGCCAGGATGAAACAGTATCTGCCACTGCATGTGAAAGTCAATGAAATGAAGTAAATGAGGGGAAACTTGCAAAGCATTGATGTCATACCACAAATGGGCAATCAGACAGGAAAAACACCATGGATGATATGTGGTAGACATGTAAAAGGGTGTTGGGAAATGATCTACAATGAACCGAAAAAATGTTTGAAAGTACTTTCCCCCCAAACCCAGAGTCCTTTCTGTTGGGGATAATTCAGACTGAAATTCCCAGGTGTCAGAAAAGGTTATTTATGTATGCAACAATTGCAGCCTGTGTTTTGTTTAGCCCCCAAATGGAAATCGAGCAAGGTCCCAACCAAAGAAGAATGGCAACTTAAGTTGACAGAATATGTACAACTTGCAGACTTTACATATAGAATAAGAGAACAAGAAGAATATGCATTTAAAGAAGATTGGAAAACGTTTATTGGAAGAATGGAAAACGTTTATCAGCCTCTCAGCTGATTCCCTGGTGGCCTGCTGGAATGCAGAGTTAACCAGGGCTATTGACTGTCTGGCTCCGAAGTGCCCTCTCCGATTGCATGGAGCCCAGACAGCCCCATGGTTTTCCCCAGAGCTGAGGGCGATGAAACAATTGTTGAGACGGCTAGAGCGCCGGTGGCGGAAAACTCACTCTGAATCAGACTGGACACAGGCTAGAGCTCAACGTAGAGCCTACCAAGTGGCAATGGCGATGGCGAAGAGGGCCTTCTTCGCCACCTCCATTGCATCTGCAGAAAACAGCAGCAGGAGACTTTTTCAGGTGGTTCGCACCTGCACCACCGGCACCTGGTAGGGACCCCAAGATCTCCTGCAATACTTTTGCAAAGTTTTTTGCAGATAAAGTCGCTCAGATTCAGAAGGAGGTAGACTCTACCGTGGGAGCAGGGCCAGGGCGGAAGAGTGCTAGAGTTCTGTCTAGTCCTGTTATATGGGATCAGTTCCAATCTGTTACCTTCGAGGATGTGGACAGGCTGCTTGGACAAGTGAAACCGACCACCTGTCTCCTTCATCCTTGCCCATCCTGGCTGATAAAAGCAAGCCAGGAAGGGCTGGGCGATGGGCTCTGCGGGGTGGTGAATGCTTCCCTCTGTGTGGGAACCTTCCCAGACCCACTGAAAGAGGCGGTCATTAAACTGCTTCTTAAAAAAAATCTTTAGACCCAGCCAATTTTGCTAACTATCGCCCAGTCTCAAATTTACCATTCTTGGGCAAGGTGATTGAGTGGGTGGTTGCTGAACAACTCCAAGCACGCCTGGAGGATGCGGACCATTTGGATCCCTTCCAATCGGGATTCAGGCCTCACCATGGGACTGAAACCACCTTGGTCGCGCTGGTTGATGATCTCCGGCGGGCTAGGGACAAAGGTGAGAGCTGTTTCCTGGTTCTGCTGGATCTCTCAGCGGCCTTTGACACCATCGACCATAACACCCTTCTGGACCGTCTTGAGGGGCTGGGAGCTGGGGGCACTGTTATATGGTAGTTCCGCTCCTTTCTCCTGGGCCGTGTCCAGAAAGTGGTGTTGGGGGATGAGTGTTCAGACCCCTGGGCTCTCACTTGTGGGGTGCCTCAGGGTTCCGTCCTCTCCCCCGTGCTTTTTAATATCTATATGAAGCCGCTGGGAGACTCCCAGGTATGGAGGACTCCCTGGTCCTGAATGGGGTAACTGTGCCCCTGAAGGACCAGGTCCGCAGCCTGGGAGTCATTTTGGACTCACAGTTGTCCATGGAGGCACAGGTTAATTCTGTGTCCAGGGCAGCTGTCTACCAGCTCCACCTGGTACGCATGCTAAGACCCTACCTGCCCACAGACTGTCTCACCAGAGTGGTGCATGCTCTGGTTATCTCCCACTTGGACTACTGCAATGCGCTCTACGTGGGGCTACCTTTGAAGGTGACCCAGAAACTGCAATTAATCCAGAATGCGGCAGCTAGACTGGTGACTGGGAGTGGCCGCCGGCACCACATAACACCGGTTCTGAGAGCTCTGCATTGGCTCCCAGTACGTTTCCGAGCACAATTTTAATGTGTTGGTCCTGACCTTTAAAGCCCGAAACGGCCTCGGTCCTGTATACCTGAAGGAGCGTCTCCACCCCCATCGTTCAGCCCGGACACTGAGATCCAGCGCCATGGGCCTTCTGGCGGTTCCCTCATTGCAAGAAGTAAGGTTACAGGGAACCAGGCAGAGGGCCTTCTCGTAGTGGCACCTGCCCTGTGGAACGCCCTCCCACCAGATGTCAAGGCAATAAACAACTATTTTACTTTTAAAAGACAACTGAAGGCAGCCCTCTTTAGGGATGTTTTTAATGTCTAATGCTGTATTGTTTTTAATATTCACTTGGAAGCCACCCAGAGTGGCTGGGGAAACCCAGCCAGATGGGCGGGGTATAAATAATAAATTATTATTATTATTATTATTATTATTATTATTATTATTATTAAATCTATGGAAAATAATTGTACACAGCTGAAAATGCTGGCAGCATTAAGTTAAATTCAACAGTGTGAATAAGTTTCGATGGATGAAATAATGGAAAACTGATTGGTATAGTTTTTGTAAAACATGCAGGGATTTAAGATATGAAAAATGAACCATGGAAAAAGAAGAAGGGGAGTCATTGATACTTCAAGGATGTAAAATGAATATTTGAAATTGTAAAACAGAAAATTTACTAAAAATTTTTTTTTAAAAGAAATACAGCATGGGTGGTATTTAAGTAAGTTTTACTCTGAGTAGACCCATTGAAATTATTGGACCTAATGGTCATTTTTAATTATTTCAATGGGTCTACTCAGAGTAAAACTTATTTAAATACCACCCATGTCTTTTGCATTACTACATATTAATGGATGAGGAAGAGTGTTCTTTGTGGTAGCAGTTATATATCTCCTATAATCTCTTGTTGCAGACTAAAAGAAACTGATAAATGAGGGAAATGAGGATATAACCTGGGGATTAGCCAAATGCACTTATCTGGCATTGGAATTTACAAGTAAGTGCCAAAAATAATTGTTTCACAAAACTACCACGGGAAATTTAATGTACCTGTTAATTATCTAAAGAAGGGTGAAATTTGGTTGTTAGCCAAGCACACTTGCTATTTCCCATAAACTCTGTAAGAGAGAGAGAGTGTGTGTGTAAGCTAGTGCAAAACATTTGTTTGATAGTGATGTTACAGAATGTATTCAGTTGATTTATCCTTCTTAAAAATACTCAAAGGTGCCAACATGCTTTAAAGTACAATGCAATGCAGTATACAATACAGCTACACAACAGAAACAGAATCCCGAGTTCAGTATAGTGTAGTATTCAAACTAATCTTAGCTACATATATTCCTTAATCAATACAAACTGTAACATAAAGAACCATATCAACCAATTCTACATTTCTAACAAATCTCTGAATAAGAACAATTTACAATATTTCCCAAATACCCACATTCTGTGGCTAGTCAAGTGAAGGAGGCATTTTGCAAACATTTCACAGCCTCCACTGTGAAATGCACACACACACACCCCATGACAATGTTTTGTAAGTAGCCTTTTTGGCATTTTGATGGGTATCATGGCAGAGAGAAGATGCAACCAACACACTTTCAGGGAGATGACGCCAGTTCGTTACCAGGCAATGGATGGCAGTGGCAACGCTCCATTGTGAGACTCCTGTCAACAACCCTTCTTCATTCTAGGATCCATGACATCATGCTGTAACCAAGCAATTTCAGCTACATGGCTACATGGAATACTACATGGAACAAGCTACATTTGCCCTCAAATATACAGTCATATAACCAAGTCTGACTGGCTGCATGATGATATCATGGCTACCATAAAAAAGAAACCATATTTTTCAAATAAACCATACCAGTGAAGCTGCAAACTGGCCTAAAAGGCACACATTGGAGATCTTTTGGGAAACAATTCAGGAGTCTCTTTACCCTTCCCCACTTTTGCCCAATTATTTCCAAGAAAATCTTTGGCTCAGTCCTACTTGTGAAAGAGATGCATCACTTTCAGAAGAGTACCAGACAACATGGGCCATGACTGCATCCTCCTCGCCACCTCCCATACACTACACATTTTGCAAGCTGTTGTATTAATGTGTTGCATCAAATGACTGCAGTTGCAATTCAGTTCACAGTTCAGTATGTGAGTGCCAGCCAAATTCCACAAATAATGGGGCATAAGTACAAGCCACTGTGAGCTGGCTGGAAGCCCATGTCTTTTATTTTCTCAGTTTCTTCAACTGCCTTCTGCCCAGTAAACATCTCCAACATACAATTCTCACTATGCTTGTATCAGTGGGAGCCAAATCAAGCTTATTGCTCTGTAATGCTGGATACGGTGCTGATTCTCCACTTCTGTGAAGCAACTCGACTTCATCCCAGAAATCAAATAATGTCAGATTGAAGTAACTCCTTGACCGTGTAATTTAGATGAGCTAATTTATACATGTGTGTGTGTGTGCGCGCGCGCGTCCTTGCACATGTGCTCCATCTTCCAAAATGTAATATATATGAAAAATATATGTGAATTGCTAACCATGAGAGAAGCCAGCAATATATTCAGTGCAAGTGGAGTTCTCCCCTGGCACCTGGGCTAATAATAATAATAATAATATAATAATAATTTATTATTTATACCCCGCCCATCTGGCTAGGTCCCCCCAGCCACTCTGGGCGGCTTCCAACAAAACACTAAAATACAATAACCTATTAAACATTAAAAGCTTCCCTAAACAGGGCTGCCTTTAGATGTCTCTACAAGAGCAGGTCAGCTTGGCACCCAAACAAGCCTCATTTGCACGGTGCTGTTCCTATCAGAGAGGGGATGGAGATGTCTTCCTTTGATGTGCATAACCTTTTCCATTTCCCTTCCTTTGCAGTCCCCCTGCAGCTCCTGGAATTGACATCTGCACATGGACACTTTTCTGTGCATGCACAGTGGCTGCCTCAAATGTACAAAACATTATGAAGTACAATGTGAATGTGGCTTATCTTTTCCAGTCAGTTTGAAGCCGCAATATCTGTAAAAAACAAAACAAAAAACAACAACCACAAGACTGATATGGATTGTGGCTAACATTTGATTTTTGTAAAACAATCGTTTAATTCATATTCATTTTTGTTAAGTGGTCACTTCTATGCTACTAGGCTGTTTAATTTAGCACAATGGTGAGACTTCTCTGTTTTTCTCTCCTGGAATTTGATGTTCCATCCATCCTAGTCCCTCAAAAAGAGGCCTTGTTTTCTCCTGTTTCCCATATATCCCCACAGCAACATTAAAGGCTATTCTTAAACAGCTGAGATTGTGAGCCTCAGTCCTTACCTACTAAGGCAATATGGAGGAGCCAAAGAGGCCACCTAATAAAACCTTACAAGACACAAAATATCAATAACATCTTATAAGTGCACCTTAAATTCATTTTAAAAGATGAATTGGCTACAAAAAAATTATTGAGGGTATTTTTATCTCCTATAAAGTCTACATTAGGCACAAGAGACAAATAGTTCCTAAAGTGTTATTACTTAGAAACGGCTGCTTTCTCCTCATTTTGACACATCTGGGGCATGCAATTATTCACAAAGGTCATTTTCCACAGAAGGAAAGGACAGTGACCAAAAGGCAGCACTTAGGCTACAAATACACTATGACAATTTAATCAATGAGAAAGCCCCAATGTCAAGAACCATCTCACTCCTGGGTTGACGAAGACTGACACCTCATCAGACCTTTGGAAAATTGTCTATGGACACAAGAGGCCTGCTGAATCCCAGTGCAGCTGTTAAAGCACGAAGAGATTCAAACGCATTACAGATATAAATGCTGAACTAGAGTCTCCTCTTGATGTTAGACTTGTAATTAGCTTGGGGAACAAAAGAGGATCATCTGTGGATGGCAGTGGCTGCTCAGCTGTGGCTCATGTCAGAAAGAGTTTCCCATGCTCAAAGGCACAGTGACCTCTACCTGCTCCTTGCAAGCAACATATGTCAGGATCTTTTATTTCAGTATAACCATACTCCTGTTTATCATATATACAGCAATTTCATGGCACATTACAGAGTTTCATAAAAAAAAGAGGCAGGGAATTGTCCCAAAGGACTTGCAAACTTAGGTCAAGGGGAAGTCTTGAACAAGTGACTAACTCTCATCTTCAGTTCACCACCTTCCTTACAGAGTGGATGGGAAAATGAATGAGAAAAAGACATGGTTGCTCTTAGAATCAGTGCGCTCAGATAAACGGGTAGCCACTCATGCTACCATCTCTCTTTAGCGGCCTGGAAGTTCAGGGAAGCGAAGAAGTTCTAATACGAGTCTCAACCCTGTGGTTTGAGGCTACAGTTTCCCCCTCACGTGGTTATACATAGGTATGTGGCTCTCTGTCAGGGCTGGCACAAGCCACCTTGGCACTTCAACTAGAGCATGTGAATGGTTTTGTTGTTTAGTCATTTAGTCATGTCCAACTCTTTGTGACCCATGGACCAGAGCACGCCAGGCACTCCTGTCTTCCACTGCCTACTGCAGCTTGGTCAAACTCATGTTGGTAGCTTCAAGAACACTGTCCAACCATCTCATCCTCTGTCGTCCCCTTCTCCTTGTGCCCTCAATCTTTCCCAACATCAGGGTCTTTTACAGGGAGTCTTCTCTTCTCATGAGGTGGCCAAAGTATTGGAGCCTCAGCTTCAGGATCTGTCCTTCCAGTGAGCACTCAGGGCTGATTTCCTTCAGAACGGATAGGTTTGATCTTCTTGCAGTCCATGGGACTCTCAAGAGTCTCCTCCAGCACCATAATTCAAAAGCATCAATTCTTCGGCGATCAGCCTTCTTTATGCTCCAGCTCTCACTTCCATACATCACTACTGGGAAAACCATAGCTTTAATTATACGGACCTTTGTCAGCAAGGGGGTGTCTCTGCTTTTTAAGATGCTGTCTAGGTTTGTCATCACTTTTCTCCCAAGAAAGTAAAATCTCTCACTGCCTCCATTTCTTCCCCTTCTATTTGCCAGGAGGTGATGGGACCAGTGGCCCAGATCTTAGTTTTCTTATGTTGAGCTTCAGACCATATTTTGCGCTCTCCTCTTTCACCCTTATTAAGAGGTTTTTTAATTCCTCCTCACTTTCTGCCATCAAAGTTGTGTCATCTGCATATCTGAGGTTGTTGATATTTCTTCTGGCAATCTTAATTCCGGTTTGGGATTCATCCAGTCCAGCCTTTCACATGATGAATTCTGCATGTAAGTTAAATAAGCAGGGAGACATTATACAGCCCTGTCTTACTCCTTTCCCAATTTTGAACCAATCAGTTGTTCCATATCCTGTTCTAACTGTAGCTTCTTGTCCCACATAGAGATTTCTCAGGAGACAGATGAGGTGATCAGGCACTCCCATTTCTTTAAGAACTTGCCATAGTTTGCCGTGGTCGACACAGTCAAAGGCGTTTGCGTAGTCAATAAAGCAGAAGTAGATGTGGATGGTACATTTCCCAAATAATTAACATGGGAAGGTAAGCCTGAGCAAGGCACATTGCAACAAGAGCTATGGAGCTGGCCTTGGGCTGATTTCCATTTCTCAGTCTAGCCTAGCTCACAGGATTGTTGTGAGGATGCAATATGGGAAACTTACACACATTGTAGTCTGATTACTTTAGAGGACTGGTCAAAATACTTCTAATAATAGTCATACTGGGGCTCTTGTAAGACAGCTGAAGAGTAGGCACTCTGACCAAATCTACAAGTTTCCGATTCTGCCACCTTTAATGGCATTCATAATCGTCCCCCTGAGGTGCTGCTTCATATAGTCTTCTGACAGGG